AATTTAAAGGACAGTATAAAAAATCATTTGTCACATTTCCTTTATCCAAGTCCTCAAATTTTACATAAAAATGTCACATTTCTTTTATAGATCTTTTTCCTATTAAGGTGACCCGCATTAATCTAACTTATCTGAAGGGATCCAATATAACAATCCAAAGCCTCTTATAAATATAACATGCTTTCTTTAGAATGTAACAATACTAAACTTTTCCTAAGATCTTTCACATGAAGTTCACCACCACCATCAACTACAACAACAAAAACCAAAGAAAAAAAGAACAAGAAAGAAAAAGAAAGACAGGCTATTTTCAAAAAAGGCAAGAGATATACTGGAAAGAGTACATTTTACTATCATTTTTATTGTATCATTTTATTCAGGAAAGAGGTTTAATCTTTAAAAAGTGAGACAGAGCAGAAAAATAGCAAAAAATTCTCCATGACAGGAGTTTTACATTTTTATATTTATCATCTCAAAAAATATACTTCTAGTTTTTCAGCTTACACATATTAAGAAAAAAAACAAGAAACAATCATTCAGAGAAAGCAAAATAAAGTGTACAAAAATAGAATCATAAGTTAAGAAATAAACCTCTTCGGTCATTGAAAATTGGGATGACATACTTTTAAGATTAACACCTTGATTCAGACTTGTTAAATCTTTCCTCATGTTACCACCACCTTTACCTCCAAAATCTGCTCCTTCCAATCTATTTTTATCCTCCATAGTGATCCAAAGAACCAATGCACCTCACTCTCTTGATCTCCTACATTAAGCTACCTATTGTACTTCACTTGCACATTCTCTGCCAGGTTAAAATCAGAGTTCTTCTGCATAAGCAAATCCTTTGAAACCTAACTTTAACTTCCACACATCTATTTCACACTTCATAGAACCTAGTAACAGGAATATTCCTCCGTTCAAAACAAAATTCTCCTATTTTAAATTATCCATCCTGAAAACTATGATTGAGAGTCAAGGCTCACAGAAATAACTTGTCCAAGGGCATACAATTTGTAATAGAATCATAGCTAGAATACAAATTCTTGCATTAGTATTTCTAAAGCGTTGTTAGTGCATCTATTATACACATCCAATGTGTGAGAATTCTTTAAATGTGAGTTTCTTTCCATTCATTAGTCTAAACATGAGCTTTTCAAAGATGGGGTAGAAGAAAAGATTTGCTTAACCTAAAAATAAATTGTTATTGAGATTAATATAAGAACATTTGTGATTTCCTAATTATAAGTGTTTTAGTTACTTTTCTCTCACTGCTGAGACAAAATACCTAATACCTCAAGTTAAAAGGGAAAAGGTTTATTTGGCTTCTACAGTGTAGAGGTGTCAGTCCATAACTGGTTCCAAGGCAGGGTGGCAGGGCAAAGGGGCCTCACAAAGGTGGGCAAAAGGTAACAAAACAACAAGGGGAACCTTAACAGTGTCTTTCTGCCCTTTTATCTTACCCAGGCTACCCAGATTAGGGTGATGACAAACTAATCAGTGTATTGATTTAGTAAACACCCATCCTTGATCCCAATACCCTTAATCTTAGCATTGCACCATGAATCAATCACACACTCTAGATTTAGCCACTTCTGAAAAGGTCCCACATATGACTACATGAGGCTTTGGGGGGGCACATCTAGACACAAGCCATAACAATGGAAACACTGAGAATACCAACTGATTAAATCATTTTCCTATTTAGGGGCATGATCAACATTTTCGGGTTGCCCAGGACTGATAGTTCATGTAAACTGAGTAACACTACAAAGGACACTGCATTCTGGTTCCTGAATATACTACTTGAGATGGCAAAAGAAATTCTGCAGATGTTATTAAATAAAGAGTCTGGAGGAAAAAATTTACCCTAGATGGTCTAGGTAAACCCAATATAACCACAATAGTCCTTATAAGAGGGAGGGAAAGGCAGAAATCAATTATTAAATGTAAAAACTGAATCAAGGGGTTAATGTGCAGAAAGTGACACAGAATGCAGGCAGTCCTCCAAAGCTGAAAAAAGTCAAAGTAATGAATTCTCTCCCAGAGCCTCAGAATGAACTACTGTGTACCTTGCTGACATCTTCACTTTAGCTTGGTGAGACTGATTCTGAAATTCTGACATGAAAAAACTATGAGAAAATAAACCTGTGTTTTAAGCTACTAAACTTCTGGTATTTTGTTACAGCAGTAATAGAAAAACTAACACAGAGTATTCCTGGAATATGGAACTTTCAGCACTAAAACAGGACTTGTTCAACTTAGCTTTAGGTTTTCAATACTCAAACATCTGTTACACAGTAAGCATAAAAAAAATTGAAAAAATCTTTTTACAAAGAATAAATCTGTTTACCAAGATCTGTCATATAGGTTATCTCATTCTCTTTTAATTATTCTTTGGTAGGAATGTATCAGATTTACCATTTGCAGAATATAAGAACTAAAGTTTAAAAAAGTTTTGTAACACGTCCAGGGACACCTATCTAGCAAGTATCTTATGTATAACGCAGGGTTTCTGATGTTACAGTCAAAAGATCATGGTAGACAGGAACGTATATTATGAAACAGGCTACTTAAGTTCAAATCTAAACTGTAAAACCAAATAGATGTTTAACTTTAGTCAAGTTACTTAACCTCTCTACTTATTTGTAAAGTGCAAAATGAAGTTAATAATACCTATCTTACAATATTAAGGTAAAAGATACTACAATATGTAAGTGAAACACCACAAGCTTGACTTAGAGATAAGTATTACAAATAATATACTCTGTACTACTAAATTAAAAATCACAAATGATAAGAAAGAAAAAATAGTAACCAAAATTAATAATGAGATGGATATGATGATAGTCTGTGAAGATAACCCAAGGTTAGTACTCTAGGTCAAAAAGATAAAAGCAAAGGGTAGACATAAAGTATGTAAAATTCCAACAGTATAAATAAAATGATAACAAAATTCAGTAATACTAGATAATGGGAGAAATTTTGGAAGCTAGAATATCATAGTGTGAATATATGCAGCACTCAATCTACAAGATAAAAATGGATCACAAAATTTGGGACAATTTCCGAGTAACAACAACAAAAAAGACTAGTAAAAGGATAAGTCTTTTGTAAATCTTACGCCTAACCCTACAGTGGCTTACAATGCTACCAGTTTCTGATAAGGGGGATAGGGATGTTGGGAAATTACAGACCAGACTAGACTATAACAAAAGTTAGACTTCAAGTTATACCAGTACAGAATTGTAATTTAAACTTTCCCCAACTTCATTCATCATCACCCTTTGCTAATAGTACCCTATTATAACACCTTTTAAACACCTTTGTTTTAAGAAGTGTGGCAGTCCAAACAAATCTGAAAATGTACTAACCCTCTTATGCTAAAGATTCTTCAACTTTTCAACTTATTAAACTCTTGATAAATGTTTTTCACTTCAGGAGTCAAAAACTTAAGAACTTTATGAATATTATTTCAGTACCTGGGTGATATTTTTACCTAACAGGTACGCCCATAATCTTATAACTGTTAATGAATAAAGCTGAGAAAACATACTGAAGTTAGACAGATTCTCCCAAAATAATAAATGTAGTCAATTTAAATTTACAAATAATTTTAGGAAACATCTTTAATGCTTGATTTCATTTCCACTATCTAATTTTTTTAAAAAATCAGAAGCTGGTACATTTTAGATGTGAATAAAAATTATAAAGTTTTATCTATCTTTTCAGAAAGTGCTAAAGAATAACGCAGTCTAAAGATGGGCAAGAACAGAGAGAGAGAAAATACTTAATGTACAACCAGAAAGATGGAAATGAATATAAGATTTCAGTTTCTGACCTACAAATTTAAAGCTAAAAATGGTGTGAGGGGACTCATCTCCTATAGGCATTTCCTGATATTCAACATAATATTAACAATTAGAAAAACAGGAAAACGACATTGGTTTTATTTAAGGGATACAAAATTAAGACAAGTGATCACATTTTGTTTTCTCAAAGTTTTATCATCCTTCCAATCAAAATTCCTCAGGCAAATAAAAGTGCTTTTCCCTTTTTAATATATTATTGTCTATGGGCAACAACTCCACAACTTCAGTGCCTTTGTACCCCATTAGGCACGCACCCATAAAAACGAAAATATCGTTGGTGCACTGCAGAAACAGAGTTATCTAGTTCGGATTTTAATGTAAGAAACAGGATTTCTTTGACTGAATAAAGATCTTTTCAATCAGCAAATGTCACACACTTGGAAGAAATTCCCTGGGAGAATTCCTTCAGAAAAAGACAGTAGGACTCTCTAATTACATATACAGGAATTCCTAGACTAAAGTGCTCTCTCCTCCTCAAAAAGTCCCAAGTATGTTTCGGGTTAACAGAAACTTCGCTCATGCAGCTTCGCAAACAAAGCACCCTTCACGCTCGCAAAAGACAGTATTTACGTTCCTTTTATCCGGTGTCACTAATAAAAATGTAGTACTGTACCGACTATATCTATGACATCCTCTCCAACAGGCCAACTGAAAAAATGTTTCCAAAGTTCCAAACTAACAGTCCCAAGTGTACTTGTGGCCAAACATTGTGCAAGAAATGTCCAAGAAAACAACTGCTTATACATTGATCTTACCCCGTGACGACTTACGTTTCAGCCCCGCAGGGCCGGTGCACCTCACACCTGACGTGCTCCACACCCTCCCCACACTCTGGGAGCGAACCTGGGCACTTGGCTACCGCCACCCCCAGCCCGGCCACCCCAAACGGCTCCCTCTCCGAGCGGGAGGAACTGTGTCCAAAGGCACTTGAGGGGTCCCCTGGACAGCCTTCCTCCCACTTAAGACTGCAAACTGAGAACCGCACAGCACTGCCGAGGGGACCGCGCGGGGAAATCCTGCAGTCCCCGCCACCTGAAAGCCCGGAGACTCGGGGGTGTGACCCGAGCGGCTTCCTAGGGCCCCGCTGCACCTCCGCACGGAAACTCCCGCGCCCTCGCGGCCACTCACCAGACCAGAGAGCATAGAGACAGGCAGGAGACCAGGGCCAAGGCCCGCCGGTACTTCTTCATCTTCTCCTCCTTCTTGCCCCTGCCAGAAGGCGGCACATCCTCCCGGCAGCCGACACTGCCGACGCCAAGATGGAGGAGCCGGAACGGGAGCGCGAGGATGGGACCGAGCGTCCGCCGGGCTGTGGCGCTCGGGGAACGGCTCTGCAGCAGCTTGCGTACCGCACGCGCTCTCCGACGGGCTCGCGGGAGCTTCACACGGAGACTCCGGGGATCGCCGCCGCCGCCGCCGCCGCCGCCGCCGGCCCGCCCGCACCCGCCTCCTCCAGCTGCCGCCGCCGCTGCCGCCCCATGTCCTCTCAGCCCTCCCCGGCCCTCGCTCCGAGCTGCCGGCGACCAACGGCAGCCGCGTTCTCTCCTAGTGTCAGCCAATCGCTGACCGGGCCGCGACACCTCACACACCGCTGAGCTGGAAGGAGCCGCGTCACCCACGTCCCACAGCGCGCGCACCCCCACCAGCCTCCGCGCGAGCCACGCCCCCTTCGACGTTTTGGGCCCCGCGGCCCGGAGCCAGGGCTCACACAAAGCTTCCGAGCTTGCGCGGACAGCCCCGCCCACTCTGGTCCTGCCCACTCACTGGCCCCAGTTCAAAATGGCTTTCCGCCCTCGGATGGCCTACCCTCTCGCTCTGCGCGTGCCGGGTCCGCGCAAGGGTCATTGGGAGTTGTAGTTTACCTTCTAGAACGCTACTGTTCCTGTCTCACAGTTTGATGCAGAACTCTGTACTTTTGGTTCTTATTGAAAGACTGACCAACTTTGGAACTGTCACACTCAGTTTTTCTTTTTGAACACAGTTCGTGAATTTGACCTCGAATAACGGCGGAGTAGGTAGAACAGAAGAGAGCAGTCCTAATGAAATTTAAAAGGCTATTTCCCGGAGTTAGTAGGGCCAGTCCTGAGAGCTGAATGCTGATTGGTAAGTTAGGGAGGGCGTGTCAAGAAGTCCCCTCTCAGGATTGGTTGGAACCAAGAGTCTTCGCTTTAGCTCTACCTCTGGGGGAATTTCGAGCCCCTACGAATTCCTCAAAAAACTTGCACTTCATTGGTTTTTATTCTCTTTGGCTTCCATCTTTGGGGTCACTGCAGTGGAGCTAGAAGGGAAGCTGCGGTTCCTTCTAGGGGAGCTAGGCGCCAACAGACGCTCCAAGTCATAGGGTTCCAGGAAAGCAGGGAGGCGGGTCTCATGCATCTACCTACCCCATCTACCTACTGCTGTGGTCTGGGCAAAATCGTGAGAGCTCCTAATCCTTAGCAACGTGCAGCGTGGCCACTTCAGGTTTTTTGGGGCCAAATCCCCTGAAAAGTCTTCAGAAGCTGGTAGAGGGACTTTCTGCTTGAAACTCCGAGGTCTTTGACCGTTGTCTTCCCAAGAACTTCTGTTCTTGCAAGGTAGCCACTGTAGAAGAAAAGGCTCCACCTGTTCGTGGGAGAGGACGGTTGGCCTTAGTTATGTTTCTTCATTTATCTCTCATAATATTCGTTGCAGACACTGACACTAAGAGAGAAGTTAGACGTTTCAGAGGAGTATTTTAGATGAGAATATACAATTGTAACACGATGATGTTTTCCCTATCAGGAGACTAGTAATTGCCTCTCTCATGATATTTCCCGAGAAATTAGGGAGAAGAGTATAAATCAGCTGAGAATGGAGAGGGCAAAGGTTGAAAGAAAAGGGGCAGAAGTTGTAGTTACCTGTGACTTGAGATGCAGCGTTAACGTTTAACATGAAAAATGTTTAAAGAAGTGTTGCATATGGTTCGTGCGGTGATAGCAATGAGTAAAAGCCCCAACGAATGCATGATTTTGAGCCATGAGATTTCCTTATGAACACTCTAGATTGGATTAGTTGTTATTTTCCCAGGGAACTGAATAATTTGACCCTCTCTATAATTCTTGGATGTAAGTCAACTGGATGTTAGGGAAATTCTACAAAGAATTGTAATTTAAGTTTTTGTTTGTTTTACTTCTTGTAATTTAGGTTTGCGAGGAGTTCACTACTTTATTTTTGGTCAATAATTAGATAACAGTTGCCATTTCCTGTTGATCCTCACTAAGTAAATCACAGTAAAACCTTTTCATCTCTATTCCCCATTGCAGAAGGAAAATTTTTGCCTTAGGAGTTGAAAGATGAGGATTGACGCTTTCTATAATATTGGACACATGTTTCTTCTTAATCCAGCAACTATACTGTGAAGAATAGGGCATGGTTGTGCCTCATTCAGCTTTTAGAAATCACAGCCAAAAATGATGCATTAGGGTTTATGTGTAGTTCAAGTCTGGAAGGTTAACAAGTGTCTTCTGTCTCTTATCCCTCTCACTCCAAACCTGAGTGTCTATCCACTTCTTTTTTAAATATATTTTTATATCTTAATTGATACATAGTAATTGTATGTATTTGTATGATACAGTATGACATTTCAGAACATCCTACTGAGCATCCCTACAACGCACCTATTAACCAGACCCTTCCAACACCTTTCCTGGGATTTGATAACCACTATTCTATTCTCTACTTCTTTGACATTATTCTTTTAATGTTTGTATAGAAGTGAGAACAGGTGGAATCTATCTGTGCCTGACTTATGTCCCTTCCACTTCCATTCATGTTAGTAAAAATGACAGAATTTCATTCCTTTTTCTGGTCAAATGACACTCTATTGTATTTATGTTCATTTTCTTTATTCATCCTTCAGTGGATGCGTAGGCTGATTCCGTATCTTGGCTACTGTGAATACTTCTACCATAAACATGCAAGTTAGGTATCTCTTTGACATACTGATTTCAATTTCATTGGATATGTATTCAGTAGTGAATTTTCTAGATCATATCACACTTCTATTTTTAGTCTTTTGAGGAAGTTCCTTGTTGTTTTCTATAGTAACTTTACTAATTTTTATTTCCACCAACAATGTACCAGTTCCCCTTTCTCTGCATCCTCACCAGCATTTGTTATTTTTTTCTTTTTGACTGTCTAATTAGAGAGAAGTTATATATCACTGTGGTTTTGATATGCATTTCCTTAATGATAAGTAACACTGAGCATTTTTTTATATTCTTGGGGAATATTTATATATCCTCGTTTGAGAAATGGCTGCCCAAGTCTTTTCTCTGTCTTTAAATTACTAGTTTTTAGAGTTGGCTGAATTCTCTGTGTGTTCTAGAAATTAATCCTTTGCCAGATTTATTATTTGCAAATATTTTCTCCCTTCTGTAGATTTTCTCTTAGCCCTTGATTGTTATCTTTTTTATACAGATGCTTTTCAGTTTGATATACTACTTGTCTGTTTTTGCTTATGTTGCCTGTTTGTAGGATCAAAACTGTCTTGGACACTTTCTCATCACTGAGATATAATACCTGGCATCCACAACTTAAAGGAGAAGAGGTTTATTTTGGTTCACAGTTTTAATCCATAATTGACTTGCTCCAAGGCAGAATGCCATGGCAGAGGGACCTGGTGGAAAAAAAAACTGCTCACATCATGGCAGGAAGCATAGAGAGAATGAACAGTCAGGAAGGCAGATATACCTTTCCAGGTCATGCTCCCAGTTAACCACATTTCTGACCAGATCCTAAGAGACCGTTACCCATACCAATGCCCTGAAGTGGTTCTCCTACATTTTCTTCTAGTAGAATCAAATCTTTGACTCACTGTGAATGGCCCACACCTTTCTTTCCCACCAAGTCCCTTCAATGATCTCTTGGAATATACAACTAATAAGTACGTTTTTTTTTTTTTAAATGTCTCCCTTTAGTTTTTCTTCCTTTTTTCTGTTTGGGGTTTTATTAACAACCCTGTGGTAGGGTTAGCATTTACTTATATATTATGCAATTAAGAGCTTTCATTATTTAACTCCATAAATATCCCTGTCTTTTTTTGCTAGCTTCATATCCATGGTTCCACATTAACTTAATTCTTCAGTGCTCTTGAGTTTTGTAGAGGATTCTAGTACATTGTAATTGCATTTCTCTTCGAGGTCTGCCTCTTATGCTGTTAGCTATGCCACTTAGATTGTCACTTGAAACTGTACTGGCATAAGATAAAACTTATCTTCCTTATAAACTTATTCACCTGACTTTCTATTTATGTTGCTGTTTTGTTCTAAGACTTCACATAAGGAGAATAATAAAAGTTCTAATGGGGGTGACTTGAAAAACTGATAGATATTTTTCTACATAGTATATGGAAAAATAAGGGGGAAATTGTGCCATAACTCAAAGAAATATAAATTAGAATTATATAATAAATTTAGTAAACATTAATGCCACCACACTTAAAAGTATAACATATGCCAAAGAATGGCAAGAAACAGTATAGAAATTCAAAACGTATACTTTTAAGACATAGTCTACATAATCCCTATCTGCCACCTCTTAGCTATTCTACAATGGTTCACAACCTGAGACAGTTTTTCCTTCTGAACTCTTAATTGGTAGTAACTGGACACATTTTAGGTTGTCACACTTGGGAAGTACCTTTGGCATCTGGTGGTCAGAGGCCAATGATGCTGTTCTACATTCTATGGTACATAAGCCAGTTGTCCACAACAATGACAAAAAGTCAGTCAAAAGTGCCAAGGTTAAGAGACTCTCAACAACAGAATCCCCCTAATTCAATGAAATCTAATACACTTACTGCATACACGGTAACTCATGTTCTCTGCAGATCAGTAGATTATAAGGGAACTCACAAAGGACTACATTGCACAAGTCTGAGTTCTCCCATTCCTAAAAGTTTAAATACACGGAAACTTCAACTCAAATACTAACTAATAAAGATCAAAAACTATTTTTGCAGATGGAGAAAAGGGATAAGCAATTTCAACACCTGACCATCTCCTTTGTCCTTTTTTAAATATAAAAATCAAATTTCAGAAGCCCAAAAGAAGACTCATTTGTCTACTTAAGATGTTGGTATTTGATGAGCAAGCCTTGATATATTTTGATTCTGTTGAAAAATATTTGCTCGCTGGGCATGGTAGTGGATGCCTGTACCCCTGTGATTTGAGCACTTGCAGGCTGAGGCAGGAGGATTGCTATGAGTTTGAGGCAAGCAAGGACTACAACGTGAATTCAAGAACATCCTGAACTGCATAGTGAAACCTTGTCTCAAAAAGACCAGAAAAAAAAAAAAAACTCATTTCAGTATTACAAAGTGCTGAGATAGTATGTCTAAGAAAAAGCTTAGAGAGGAACTGCTATTGCCAAATGAAATTAGATACTTCCAAAGTAACA